ATGGGAATTCTTTTCTGAGTGATTATGGGGTTTTAACTTTCCTCAATTGATGGTAAAATTGAATTAGCATCGAGGACATCGAATTTTGCATTGGTCTTGGAGTTGTGAATATTAAATTTCTATGTTATAATTCTAGCACTATAGAATAAAAGAGTTCTAAAATCTTGGAACAAAGAGAACAAGGTCATTTGTGTGCACAAAATGGAGATTATATATTAGGTGAACTTTGATGTCATAGATATATAAATCATGTGGATTTGAAAAGGATTGAAGTGATGATTTATTAGAAGAAATCTAAAGTGGTATGGAAGTTTTATGGATGTTGATTTTGTAGGACACTATAGGAGTTTTTTGGAAAAAAAAAATTATTATATCACACATGATTCGAAGTTAGAGTGAAATGATGATTTTGTTTTTTTTCATATTGAGGAATTACCTGTACAATGGAAGACTTGGAAAATTTTTACTAATTTTAAGAGTAAGTTTCTTTTGTTAAATAGACGTGAATGTGAGACATAAAAAAATAGTGCTTCGAATTTTGAAGGATTATGATATGATCATTGCTTGTCATCTTAGTAAGGTTAACAAGGTTGTAAATTCTTTGAGTAGGAAGTTCTTATGTAGTTTACCATATTTGGTTGCTAAGAGGAGTTGTTTTGAGGGGATTAGATAAATATGAAAGTTAGATTATGAGCATGTTTGAGTAAACTCTTAACTGCTTGTAAGTGTAGTTTAGTCAATAAGAACATTGGAACTACACATGTAGAATAATTATTTGCCTAAGGAAGGAAATGAGTTGGAGACATGATTTAAAATTGTGCTTATTAAGAATTATGGTGAATTTGGTTATTATTAATAGGTTGATTAAGTTTGCCGATTTTCTTCACATCAATATTGGTATGTCAATAGATAGACTGGCAGAGTAATATGATAAGGAAATAGGAAGGAGTATTGTATTGATCACTTAGTTTATCTTGTGATTTTAAGGAATGAATGAAAAAGGTTTAGTGAAATTGAGGTTTGAGGTTTAAAATTATGATGAATTATTTCTCTAAATAGTGGTAAATGATTTTGGTTGATTTATGACTTATCAAAGTTTAGAAATTGTGATCATTAATTGGAGTGGGATTAATTTAAGTTGTTATGCAAAGATCAATTTCTGGTACCCATAAGGTCTTATGATTGATTGATGAGTTATTCATGAAAAGCTAGAAAACCATGAGATTGCCTTTATTTTAGGAGGATGATTGAAGAGGAAATTATAAAGAAGGCATGGCATAACGCTTGTGAAGTTGTAGTAGGGTACCCATAACAAGAAGGGAAACAATGTAAAAGTTGGATGAGGAATGAGGAAGTGAAAAAGAAATATCGGGAGTTGTTCATAGACATGTTGAGAGCTTGTGTTTTAGATTTGAAAGGTGCTTGGGATGAAGATTTGCCCTTAGTTGAGTTTGCCTACAATAATAGTTATCGGACAAGTATCCAAATGATGCCTTATGAGGCTTTATATGGCAGGAAATATATGTCCCCAAAATGTTGGGATTCAAGGAAAACTTAATCCTCGGTTCATTGGTTCTTTTGAGATTTTAGAGAGAGTTGGAAAGGTAGTCGACATATTAGCACTACCACCTAATTTGCCAGAAGCTCATAATGTTTTCCATGCCTCCATGTTAAGGAAATATTTTTCGGACTCTAGCCATATAATTGAGCATTCTCCACTTCAACTTAAAGAGGATTTGTCTTACGAGGAGCGTCCGGTTCATATTGTGGAAAGAAAGGAATAGGTGCTAAGAAGATGAATAATTCCTTATGTTAAGATTCAATGGAGTAATCATATTGAACATGAAGCCACGTGGGAGTTAGAGAAGGATGCGAGGAAGACGTACCCATACATATTTGTCGATGCAAGTGCAAGTTTAGGGACTAAACTCTTTTAAGGGGGAGAGGATGTAATATCTAAGGATTTTTTACTTTAGATTTAAATAAATTATTTAAGCTCTTAAAAGGTATATATGTGATAGAATTAAATTTGGGGTTGAAATTATAATGATGTAAGGAGCTCAAGGACTAGAACCTTATAATTAAAGCTTAGGGACCAATTAACAATATTTCCTTTTTGTAAAAAAGCCCCAAATCAAGTGAGTCCACAGTTTCATTTTTCCCACTTTCTTTTTAGGGAAATAGGATTGTCACCTTTCTTCCGCCTGCAAATAGGAAATGGGCTAGGGGTTAGCAGAAATTCTGTAATGCTGCTGCTCACTTCTGAAGGTGCTGTCGCCCATTTGTGAAAGCATAGAAAGGGGCTTCCGTCCAATAGATTGCCGGATTAGTCGAATTGAGGAAATTTTAGGGTAAGTTTC